ATGACCGAAAAAGTAACATTTTACCCCCCATTCCGCGATTTCCTGGGTTGTGAGTATAAAGTTGGAGGACACAAGTATCAATACGCGTACTGAGAGCGCGGGGTAAAACCGGGGGGACCCCGAATTTTACTGCAACAGCAACTAGCGTATGTTTTTGACTTTTTATAATACAATTTTTTCTTCAGGTAAAGAACAGCATTTTGAAGCTGATGATGGTGGCCCTTATACTTGGGGCAGCTAAAGCTGAAGAACTCATAACTGGACAGCCTGACTCTGGGAATCCAGGCTTGATTACTGAACAGCCAGATTCTGGAGATTCAGGTCTGATTACTGGACAGCCAGACTCTGGAGATTCAGGTCTGATTACTGGACAGCCAGACTCTGGAGATTCAGGTCTGATTACTAGACAGCCAGACTCTGGAGATCCAGACCTGATTACCGAAAAACCAACGACGGCAGCCAGCACGACGGAAGCCAGCACGACTGTTCAGACGACCACCGTAAGCAGCGTAGTTCTTCCATGTGACAAGGTCCTAAATAAACTCGGCGCAGAATTGCAACGAAAACAACAGGAAACTGCGGCATTGGTAGATAGTTTGAGGCAACAATTCCAGGTCCGTTACCAGCAGCGAGAACAAGAGTTTGCCGCTTCATTTCAGACCCGTCAAGCGTTCTTTAAGGCTCAGCTTGACAAATGCTACCAAACTCGGTACCAGTGGGAATGTGACAACCTTCGTAACCAACAGCAACAACTGCAAGATCAATCTCGTCAGGAATTTAATCAAATTCAACAGCAGAGCCAGCAACGCTTCCAACAAATTGAACAGCAAAACGCTAATAACGTGCAGTCACGTAACAACGAAAACCAGCAATATCAACAATGGTACAACCAACTTCAGCAGCAGATTTTGCAGCGTCAACGCGATATAGAAAATCAGATCACTCAACAAACGACGCAACTTGAAGAACAGTACAAGATCCAATCCCAGCAGGCATATTTCAAGGCTAATCCTGCACCGTACGAAGAGCAGTTCCGACTGTGGCGTGCGAACATACAAAAGCAGCTCCTTGAACAAACTCAGCAGCTGGAGATTTCGAAGGAAAATCAGTGCTCACAAATTCTTGCGGCTCTGGATGCATTCCACGCACGCTTTGCGAACAGTGACGGACAAATCAGCAGCCAGTTTGCCGCATTTGATACCAACATCGCATCACAGAACTTGGACCGCAGCAAGCGGGTTGATAGCCAGTTCAGGCAGATTCAGAAGCTGTATGCATAATGTACAATCGATGAAATCTCGGTTGTCTGGAACATGCGAACAAAATTCTGTTTAATTAGGAGGCAGCTTAATGAGATTCATTTTCGCTGCTCTGTTTTTACTGCAACTGAATTACTGAAAGGTTTAGAGTCTGGGTTAAGTTATCTTATGAAAAATTCCCAAGCCTTCGATAACTATGCCACTATCATGTGAAAACATTTTATTGTTTCAAAATTTTTTATCGGTAGAAAAAATTGTCGAAAAAATTTGATGTAATCATTCGATGAAATGCCCAGTGCACTGTAATAATAAAATCGCAAAATAAAATAAATTAGTTTTTTCTTTCATTTATAATAATTAATGTTATTAAAATTTTCATTATTATGAAAATAATATTTATTTATTCAGAATGAAAATATTTTTTACAGTACGAGATTATGACTTCTAAGTCGTCAGGCGTACTAAAGATAATTTGTTCTAGATTTGTTTACACATTCAATTTACCAGAAGCGCAAATTAGCGGCTCGATTAATGCCTGCTTTAGGGTAAGATTCGAACACGCTAATCGGATCGCCATCATGAGCTTGCGAGTTTTTGGATGATCTTAAAGTATTAAATACGGCCACGGATCAGCTCTAGCGAAGCTATCATGAAATCGCAGATGAATGTTTTAAATTGCTAGTCGCCCTGTCTAAAATTTGATGCATTTATTGAGGCGAAAAGGCTCGCTCTAATAGACACTTTAATGGTGACCATTGGTCGGCGCAGCGGTGAATCAGGCGTGAATCGGAAATCTATTGTATTCTGCCTCTATGTAATAGTCCTGAAATTCTAAAGGCTTACAAAATCATATGTCGATCGTGCGAGAATTTAATGGCCATTCTATCAACCTTATTCAGTGATGATACTATGTTCCTATTGCGAAACGTATACAGCTGCAACTACTGCAACACAGCTGCGGACTACTACCTACAGCTGCAAGAAAAGGGGCCCCTCCAAACAAACTCTCCCTTAGAACAAAGCCGCTGCACACCAACTTCGTGTATTGAAGTAAATAAGGGCACCTGTAAGGAATACATCAGTAACAGCTCGAAATGACAATAGCCAAATGATAATAATCTCGTTTGTTATTTGGATCTAATTCATTTAACAAACGCATGAATCGCTTAAAACACCAACATTTTTCCGTCATTCCTCAACATACTTTTTCTCGTGTAACATCAATGGCACAGATGATGTACAATAAGAAGAACCAATTTATACAAACCTGTTGAAGAAACCTTCATACAGAATGACGAAAACAATGAGCACTGAATCGGTTCATTTCGACACGATACTCTGTCCAATTAAATATTTCACAAGAGCGCAGCAGTTTCACTGATTGCATGATTCCTCTAGCCCATGGCCTGATACCTCTAGCCCTGGCCTGATAGCTCTAGCCCTGGCCTGATACCTCTAGCCCTGGCCTGATAGCTCTAGCCCCAGCCTGATAGCTCTAGCCCCAGCCTGATAGCTCTAGCCCTGGCCTGATGGTTCTAGCCCTGGCCTGATAGATCTAGCCCTGGCCTGATACCTCTAGTCCTGGCCTGATGGCTCTAACCCTGGCCTGATGGCTCTAGCCCTGGCCTGATGGCTCTAGCGTTGGCCTGATAGATCTAGCCCTGGCCTGATAGCTCTAGTCCTGGCCTGATGGCTCTAGCCCTGGCCTGATAGCTCTAGCCCCGGCCTGATAGCTCTAGCCCTGGACTGTTAGCTTTAGCTCTGATCTGATAGCTCTAGCCTCGGCCTGATAGTTCTAGCCCTGGTCTGATAGCTCTAGCCCTGGCCTGTTAGCTCTAGCCCCGGCCTGATAGTTCTAGCCCTGACCTGTTAGCTCTAGTCATAGCCTGATAGCTCTAGCTCTGGACTGATAGCTTGCCTGGACTGTAGCTCTAGCCCTGATCTGATAGCTCTAGCCCTGGCCTGATGGCTCTAGCCCTGGCCTGATGGCTCTAGCCCTGGCCTGACAACTACCCAGTTAAAATTTAGGGCAGGGAATAGAGCAGGCCGTCGCCGGCTGCAGAGCCGGCGTAGAGACGCGACAGAGCAGCGATAGAGCAGAAATGTCCGCTTTAGAGACGATATCGCCAGCCGCGTATCAGCGCTAATTAGCTTCTGAGTACCTGCCCAGGTGTGCTCTGCCCTGCTGTCACGCAGCCCTTACTGAGCACCGCCTGCTCAAATCTGCCCAACGCCTGCTCTGGGGCGGCTCTGGCAGTGTACGCGGCAGTTACGCGTCACCGTTTGTCAACAACGATTTAAAAAATTTGTTCCTTCTCTCTCTGAGCTCACCTAGACTTCTCTCTTGCAATGACAGGATGTATTGACATTGGTTACTGACATTCTCATCGTATTGACATTAGCAACGTAATTTAGAATCGAACAAATTCAATTATCGAGGAAATATATACATCAAATTACTCACCGCCATGAACTATCTGCAAACGTCGA